TTTAGGGTTTTAGGGTTTTTGTAGGGTTCGGGATTAGGGGTTTGGGCTTCAGGCTTTGGGGTGCAGGTGCCAACCCGAGCCCAAAAGGGCAGAAATGCTCAGCCACCAGTAAGCCCCTCAACCACAGAGCCGATATTACTAGTAGTAATAGTAAAAATATGATACGTAGTTCTACTACCAATACTACTACTACTACCAATACCATGACCAGTACTATTACGACTACTGCTACTACTACTACTACTACTACGACGAGGGCGACGGCGACGACGACTACTACTATAGGCATGAACTCGTATATAGCTCAAAGCAGGAAGCCCCAAGCAACCAGGGCTCGCTTGGTGTTTCGGATGCAGGGCACTGAGTTTATGGTTTATGGGACTTTGGGGATGTAGCCTTGCGGTTGAGGCCTCGGGTTTAGAGTTTCGGGTTTAGGGTTTAGGGTTTAGGGTTTGGGGTTTAGGGTTTAGGGTTTGGGGTTTGGGGTTTGGGGTTTAGTGTTCCGGGTTTAGGATTATTTGTGTGGTTTGTATGGCATTACTCCAAGTCGCCCCTGTCCTTGAATGCCAACAGAGGTATGTACGACCCAAAGCCCAAAGCCAAAACCGCAAACCCCAAACATGAAACCCTAAACCCTAAAACCCTAAACCCTAAACCCTAAACCCTAAACCCTGAACCCTAAACCCCAAACCTGAACCCTAAACCCCAAACCTGAAACCCTAAACCCAAAGGTCGCGTCCTTTGGCACTCCTGGGAGGGCGACCTCTTGGGACTCGCGCCAGGAAAGTTCAAGAACAGCCAGGCGTGGTCTCGGGCTTCGGGTGCAGGGTTTGGGAATCAGGTTTCGGGTTTTAGGGTTTAGGGATTTGGGGTTTCAGGGCTTAGGACTCAGGGTTTCGGGTTTAGGAATGTGCGTCTTGGGTTTGGGAGTCTTATGTCAGGGTTTCGGGTTTGCGGTTTAGGGACCTTTGTCGAGTGGCTATGCTGACATGGGAGTGCAAAGGGCCCCCACAAGTTCGATCCACTTCCTGCATCATGTAGGACTTCGGGGTTCAGGGTTCGCGGGGTCGGACATGACGACACTGGATAAAGGTCGAGACTTCAAAATTTCCGGAAATTATGGATTTCTGCTGGGGCTCTCTTTCAGTCGAAACCACCACGGGTGAGACTCATGTTAATGCCCAAGCTTACTGTTCTGCTCCTGCTGCTGCTGCTGCTGCTGCTGCTGTTGCGTCTACTCCTACTCCTACTCCTACCCCTGCCCCTACTCCTGCTCCTACTCCTACCCCTACTCCTACTCCTACTCCTGCTCCTCCATCTCCTCCTACTCCCAGTCCTAATCCTGGTGATGCTCCTGCGACTCCTCACCCCGTCGATCCTAAGTTAAAGCACAGGCCCGGGAAACCCTGGCGCTAAACACCCTTGAGCCCTACATCTTGCCTCATGCTAAACCCTGGACCTTAAGCTGTTAGGATCCATATAAGGAAGCCTAATGAGCATCAAACCCACAAGCCGACTTCGAGGTACCTTTCTAGAAACCCTTATAGAGGCCTTTAAGAAACCCTTAGCCTTATAGATGCCTTTAAGGTTTCATGAAGAACCAGGGTTTCTTAATCAGGTTCCTACCCGAAACACTACGCACGAAATCGTACACCCTCCACCGGAAACCCTGCACCCGGAGCCCCTGTCCTCATCTTAACAGGATCCTCGGGCCTGCCCCGTCCCAACCTTCAACGATTGGTGGCAGCATGTATCAGGCCAGGGAATGAATCCTGGCTAGAGGGCTTTTGGAGAATTTCCCGGCGGGTTGAGGGATAGAATTAGGGTTTAGGGTTTAGGGTTTAGGGTTTAGGCGAGGTTTAGGGCAAGGGTTCAGGGGTTTAGGGTTTGGGGTGTAGGGCTACTGGGCGGGTGTGAGGTTGAGTGCTTTAAGAGTTCAGGCATCTGGGGTTTCAAGGCTTCATGGCACTTCAAGGGTGGAGAGTGGGACGGTTCGGGGTTGAGGGTTTTAGTTGCAGTGTTTGGGACCCGCGAGGGGTGTTGTGTTTAGGGATGGCGGGTTGGTCAGGGTCGGCTTTGTCGCCTGCTCTATACGGTCACTCTCAATCATGGGGACGTGAAAAGGACAAGCTAACGCAGGTGTTGAAGAGCAGTTCCGAAGCCGTGGAGCCGTCAATACTGCCATAGATCCGGAGCCCAAACTACAAGGACCCGTATCCCAAACCCCCAAGCACCTTAGCCCCCAACCAAATCGTGCCCAGAGGTCTAAATCTAAGACGCTAGACCGTCAACCCTCTACACCAAACCCCTAAAAACCCTAAAGCCCTAAACCCTAAAAACCCTAAAAACCCTAAACACCCTAAATACCCTAAACCCTAAACCCCAAACCCCTAAATCCTGAAAGCCCTAAAAGCCCTAAACCCTCAACCCTAAACCCCTAAACCCTAAGCCCTAAAGCCCTAAAACGCCCCATCCCATGAGCCGCCCTGGTGAAGGCCATCCCAGCCTACAGCCCGGGCAGGAGACCGCAGGTTTCGAGCTTTAGGTATTGATCCAGGAGCCTACATATGGGTAGTTGTCAAATTCATGGTCCCTTTTGGGGTACCCTAAATAATAGGTGCCGTATTATAATAAGGACACAAAAAGGGACCATAATTTTGACAACCACCCATATAGGTATTGATCTAGGAGCCTAAATTAGTACCTATACTATTTAGGGTTTAGGGTTGAGGGTTTAGGGTTCAGGGTTTAGACCTAAAGCCCTATCGCTTCCATTGTAGTCCCCGTTGTTTGGTTTAAACAACCGTATATTAGGATGGCACAAGGTCACCCAAAAAGTCGAACTACAATGGCGACCATAGGTAAAGCTACAAAAGTGGGAACCCTATATAGCATAATATAACATAACATAACATAACATAACATAACATAACATAACATAACATAACGCAGCACAACATGGCATAGCATAGCACAGCACAGCACAGCACAGCACAGCATAGCACAGCACAGCACAGCACAGCACAGCACAGCACAGCACAGCACAGCACAGCACAGCACAGCACAGCACAGCACAGCACAGCATAGCATAGCATAGCATAGCATAGCATAGCATAGCATAGCATAGCACAACACAGCATAACATAACATGACATGACATGGCATAGCAAAATGTAACATAGCATATGAATCATAAATGTCATATAAAAAAGTATCACAAACATCATAATAAAGGCGGATAAAGTCATGAACAAATCAAACAACATCGAATACAGCCAGAGAATAGCATTCCAAAAACAAAAAACATATAATGTAGGGGCCTTAATAGCCTTAATGATTAGAATAGGGTCTTGGGCTCCTTTATAGTATAATCATAATAAGGAACCACCAAAATAGTATAGAACCCCCGAAACCCTACACACTGGTCTCGGGGCTTTGCACGTTCAGGGTTGAGGGTTTAGGGTTTAGGGTTTAGAGATTAGGTTTAGGGTTTTAGGGTTTATTGCTTTGGGTTTAGAGTGCAGTTGAACATGCAACCCGTAGCCTTTCTGGAGCTTAGATCGTCATAGTTTCCCTCTTTGCTTTTGGACCAGGAAATCATCGAACGGATTCCGGCTCACCCTTTGAAACTTGCGACGTGGCACTTTGGGCATGAAGGAGTTAGGGGTGTCTGCTGGATGCGGGCCCAGGGCCCACATTTGCGACAGAAGGGAGAGGAAAGCAACCTGGGCAAGGGGGGCCCTCCCTGCCGATCGCCACAGACGACGGATTCCGTCGTCATCTGTTCGTCGTACGCTGCAATGTCGGAGCCACAAAGGTCACAAAGGCATGAAGGCGTTGAGGGGGGTCGAGGATCGCACCTAAACCCTAAACCCTCAGGGACGGGGCACGAGTTGCGGGTTGATCCATGCGGCCTAGCTGATCGCCGAACGCCTGAGATGCAGGGTTCACTTAAACCCTGTAGTCCCTGTACCCTGCTGCAAAACGAAACCTTGATCCCTTACTTCTTGACCCCTAAAATCCAAAATCCTACTGTAAAACCTATAAGCCCTGAACTCTGAAGCCCAGACCAGAACTTCCTAAGCCTTGCACTAAACCCGAAACGAAACATTGAAGCCTAGACCGGAAGTCAGATAGCAGGACCTTCGACGGAGTCAGAGTGCTTCAAGAGAGGAGCTGCCGGTGGCATCTTGGCCGCAGACGCGCAGAACCCTAATCTAAGGTTAGAAGTATGGGCCCCTAATATGGACCCTTAGGGTACATATAGGGTATATAGTAGGTGTATAAGGATCCCAGGGTGAAGGGCCCATACTAGGGGCCCATGGTTTCAACCTTAGACCTAAGAGTTAGGCGACCTTCAGACGCCCAAAGCTAAACCCTTAACCCTAAGCCCTAAACCCTAAACCCCTTCATCCTAAACCCCTAAACCCCTAAACCCTAAGAGTTAGGCGTCCCTCAGACTAAACCCTGAACCCCGAAGCCTGCTTTGTAGGGTCTAGAGTCGAGGCCCCCCTGTTTTCGGAACCTCTGGTGGCCAGGAATCCTATCGCCTTAGTCTCAGAGGTCTATGGTAGATGCCGCAAAGTTTAAGGTTTAGGGTTTAGGGTTTAGGGTTTAGGGTTGGAACAGTGTTGTCCTCATGCCCTAAAGGTAAAATATAGGGGATCCTAGCACTAATCATCCTAAATCCATGTTCCAACTTTCTGGGATTGACTATAGACTCTAAAACCAAAGTCCAGCTTCCCTAAGCCCCAAACAGTTTATGTCATTGAATCCGAGGGTTGTGAAGCCGACGGTTTTTGCTATTCGGATGAGGGTTGTAAGGCCTAGGATTTAGTGTGTTCGGTTTCGTGGCCCTAAACCCTAAACTCCAAATCCCCAAACATGAAACCCTAAACCTTAAACCCTAAACCCTAAACCCTAAACCCCTAAACCCCAAACCTTTGAAGCTCCTTTGGTCTTCGGGCTTGGCATTTGGGTTTTTTCGGCTTCTAGAGGCTGCAGATAAAGTCCGACAGCAAACGAGGGAGTCGAGTTTTCCAATCGCTCCCGGACGTCCGAGCCAGCCTTTCACTTTTTTTCTGAGTTTAGGGTTTAGGGTTTTGAGATGATCGTAAATCCTTGGTTATTAGAATCCCCCAGAAAGAGCTAAAGCTATAATTTCTGCAAAGGCGCCAAGTTCAGTATAGTCGTCAGGTTTGAGGATTCAAGGATGTCACATAGGTTCCCAAGGTGACTGCCAGTATAATTCCTGAGGCTTCCTTGGTCTAAGTATCCTATACGGGCGTTTGATAACTACCTGTATTACTTTTAGGGCTTCTTCATATAAGTATAGTATAATGTACTCCAAAACCCTATTTTGATTTTTACGGCCCCTGTATTGATAGAGTTTACCCTGAACCCCGTTCTGATTGGCAGGGCCCCTCTGTATTGCCCGTCTGTGGCGGGCTGAACATGGATCCTAGCTCGTGGTTTTGCGGCCTTGGCATGAACATCCTACGTGCCAAGCCCTAATGTAGGGGCCTTGATAATTAGAATAGGGGTTTTTGTGGGTATATTATACTAAAATTATAATAAGGAACCCCCAAAATGGTAGGTATAAGCAATTATTGAAGCCCCTATATTAAGCTCTAAACCGAATGGTTTTTCTGAGGGTTTAAGTCCGATGCCAGCCCGGATCTCCGCTACTTTCCTGTGTAAAATTTTGATAGCTTCGCAGTACCCCGGTGACAACTCTACGTATGGAACCCCGAAACCCTAAACCCTAAACCCTAAACCCTACACCCTACAGCCTAAACCGTGCCAAAACAGCGGACGAAATCTGAGCAGAGGCCTCGCAGCACGACGCGGAAACGCAGAGTTTTACCAGCTGGGGACTCGGCTCCCATGTATTTGGGCCAGAGGGTTTAGGGTTTGGGCCGTTTGGGGTTTAGGGTTCAGGGTTTAGGGTTTAGGGCTCAGGGTTTAGGGTTCAGGCTCTGGGAGGTTTAGGTTTGTCCCACAAGACAAATCCGGAGCCCGCATCACGGCTGGGCTTGGCGGTACTTAAAGGATCATAGGGTTTAGTAAGTAGGGTTACTAAGGTAACTATACTTATAACCCCAATTAGGGGACTTGTAACCTTACTTACTAAGTCCCATGATCCTCCACGTAAGGCATGGTGCCTTTGCTTTGATACTGATCTGGCAGTTCTTGCCGCCCTTAGCGTTACGAGTTAGAAGCACCGTAATACCTCAACGAGACACCCTTATGACCACCGAGCCTTCATAGCAGGCTTCTTGTTCTATGGGCCCGGCGAACCGGATCCCTTGCTATAGGGGCCTGAATACTTACCTATACTATTTTGGGGGTTCCTTATTATGACTATACTATAAAGGACCCCAAAACCCAATTCTAATTATTAAGGCCTCTACATTAATTGCAGAATTAACGGCACGTCACTCCTTATTTCGGGTCCGTGAGCCCACGGTGCGACGCCAGGTGTAGGATTTAGGGTGCATCAGAAAGTCGTTTGGATTTGGGGTTTGAAGGGCTTTAGGACGTTTAAGGGCTTTTGGGGTCTCGGGCCAACGGTAGGGCTACATGGAACAGAGTGGCCGAAATATGTATCTTTGATTCCTTAGGGTTCCTCAGTGTAATTATAGTATAATATACTCCAAAGCCCTATTCTAACTATTAAGGCCCCTACACCCTACACCCTTATATTAGCCCTTATAGAACCCTTCAAGGAACCCTTTAAGGGAACCCCCGAAACCCTTGCTAACTATTGAGGCCCCCCACCTTCTTCTGCGTGTTCAGGTCTCTCAGCAAAGGAGGCGCTAGACCTTACGCGGCCCCTGGTGCCTAGCAAGGTCACTTTCCGCCAGGGTTAGGGCTTTCGAACATATACCTGGATTTCAAGGGTTTAGGGTCGAAGATTCGTTTAGGGTTCAGGGTGTAGAGTTTAGGGTTTAGGGTACAGGGTTTAGGGTTTAGGGTGTAGGGCTTTGATTTCCATCCCTGAAACTTCAGACTTCACACGCCAAATCCTGAAGCTCAAACCCAAAGCCCTAACTAAACCTTCGAATCGGGTTTGGGCTGGCTAGTTTTATGATTTGGCCCAAGTTTCTGCAACCCTGCACCCTAAAGGCCCTTAGGGCCCGTGAACAAGATCTCAAACCCTAAACCCTAAATTCTGTAACCCTAAACCCTAAACCCTGAAACCCTCAACCCTACATTCTGAAACCCAAAACCCTAAATTCTGAAACCCTACGTTCAGGTTGCTTGCAGGGGATGTTGCATCGAGGGATTTTCAGCACCAGGGCCGGCAAAGAGCCCAGAAGCTCCTTCTCCTAAGGGGTTTAGGGCTTTAAGGGTTTAGGGCTTTAGGGGTTTAGTGTTTAGGGATTTAGGGGTTGGGGTTTAGGGTTTTAGGACTTTAGGGATTTAGGGGTTTCCGCGGCCGCTTCCAAAGATCAGCTGTTCACCATTCTGCGAAGTGAATTTCCATCGGAAATCACGTTCCTGGCGTCACATGATGTCGCCGCGAAGGAGCAAGTGGTATCTCTAGCTGCGCAGAGGTCTCGCACAGTCAAAGAGCGTCTTGAGCAGCTCAAAGGGGATTCCCGACCTGTCACTGCTCGTGGCGTCTCAGCCGGCCTAGGGGCCGTGCTGAAGGCGGGAAGACAGTCGCTCTTGGATTCGTACTGCGACCTGAGAGAGCGATTCGGAGCAGAGGCAAAGGAAGGAGCCTCGCTGCGAGTTCCACTTCACCGCCGAGTATTGCCTTACAGCAGGGCAAAGTCGGATTTTGCAAGCTGGAAATTGGCAGGGAGGTCCAGGGCCGCGTAATGCGACCGAGAAACATGTTCTATACCTGGGCTCTGAGGGCGGTAAGGGACATTCTACAGATGGATGCCTCACCAGATTGGTCCTTCCTTCAAACACTCGCAACCGACAGAACGCGCTGGCGTAACCTTCAGGCAGTTGTTCAGCCGTGTTGGCAATCACCAAAAATTGCTGCCAGAAGTACGGAATGGACTGTTTGGAAACATCCCCTCATTCATTGCACATCTTGTTCAATCTGCATTTACCTCGACGTTGTGGGTGATTTTCTGGTAGCCTCTTGGTTGGATAGGGAGCATGGATGGCAATGTTACAGTCGTTGATATTCCGAACATATGTGGCAGGCGCATATTTTTGGTATAGTTGGATATGTGCAATTCTGTGGCAGCTGGTTATCCTATCTGTTTCTGCTTTCGGGTGATCTTTTTTGATCTTCATGAACCTGAGATGTATGATTGTAGTCGTCATGCTAATCGAGATCGAATAAAGGTCGTGTCTTTTCAAGTAGTCCCAGATGAGTGGTTGCAGACAGTGCAACACGCTTCACGTGCTCTGCCATAAGCGCTGGAGTCTGGAGCTTGGCTGAAGGGATTCAGGGCTTAGTGCCTTGCAGTCCCTGCTCAAAAAAGGGGTTTAGGGTTTTAGGGGTTTAGGGGTTTAGGGGTTCACGGTTTCAGGGTTTAGGGTTTAGGGTTTTAGGGGTTTAGGGTTTAGGGTTCAGGGGTTTGGGGCTTTAGGGGTTTAGGGTTTAGGGGTTTAGGGTTTAGAGGTTTAGGGGTTTGGGGTTTTAGGGGTTCGGGGGTTTAGGGTTTAGAGGTTTAGGTGTTTAGGGGTTTAGGGGTTTAGGGGTTTAGGGCTTTAGGGGTTCAGGGTTTCGGGTTTAGGTTTTAGAGGTGTAGGGTACCCCAAGCCGATGCCCTGCAATCAAACCCTCAAGCCTAAACTCTAAACCCTAAACCTTAAACCCTAAACCCTAAACCCTAAACCCTGAACCTTAAACCCTAAACCCTAAACCCTAAACCCTAAAACACTAAAACCCTAAAGCCCTAAAGCCCTAAAGCCCTAAACCCTAAACCCCTTGCCCTAAAGCCCTAAGCCCGAAACCCTAAACCCCAAACCTTAAACCCTCAACCAACGAGCTGAAACCCGAGAAACCTTG